GCATGCCTCAGGTTTTAACAAGCTCTTACTTAACCGGCCTGATGTCACCATGGCTGTGGGCGACAAGAAATCCGGCTGCACAGGCAACAAGGCTCCAAGGAGTCTGGGTCAGAACTGTTCCCGATTGCCTCCCTCATGGCAGGCCGTGCCCGGCTTGCAGGCGTTCTGCAATGCCGTGCCATAAGCAAAACGCTCTGCCCCTTGCTCACAAGCTCTGATGCTTTTCTGCAGATGGCAGTGGCTGTGGTTTGAAAACTCCCGGCTCCCACGGCTGCTGCAGAGAAAAACCAGCAGAGCCAGAAATTAAGTAACGCAGCAGCAGGCAGCAATATTTCCTGGTCTAGTCCGGTTAGCAAACACCGAGCAATGCCCACACATTTTAGGCAGAATGAGGAAGAGCCCCTGTAACGGGACATCACAAGGGGACTGCTGGCAGATCCTTAGCTCGGAAACACAGATCTCACCCCACAAAGGCCATTTGTAAATGTTTTTTTTGCAAAGTTTTTTTCTAGCGAGAGGTGCCAAGGGGCATTCAGAGCTTCAGGAGAACAAGGCAAGCAAGGTTCACTGACACAGCACCACGTCTTGCAAGACTTAAGGCAAAACCAAAATGAAGGCCTGGCTATTTTTGCAGAGGACATGCGAGGGGAGAATGGGATCTGTTACAACCACAGCCCTACAGAGAAAGCCTGCTCTTCTCTCCAACAAAGCCCTGAAATCACACCCCGCCTGCGGATACTGCAAGTGTTAATACACACTGTATATTGAGCCATCCTTCATCGAGCTGCCATACAGTATGCCTGCTACAATACACTGCACACAAAAAGGGAAAAATGCAGCAAGTGGAGCTGTGAGAGAATAGAGTGGCAAAAGTAAAACCAGATCTCAAGATTCCAACTGTTAGCAGAGTTCTGTGGAATGAACCACCAGCATTTCTCTACACGATGATCCACCAGTGAACTTATTAGGAACAGACACAAAAGCAGGCACAGAAGTACCAGAGAACAACACACTCAGGCAGCTTATCAGCACAGAAATCCCTGACAACTCACCTGCGTGAGGAAAGATGACACACACATGTGCATTTCCTGAAGTACACCTAAAGGATTGTGAATAACACGTTCAACAAAGTTCCCTACTGCCATGGACTGACATGCCCTTACTTAAGACAACCCACCTAGAGCAGTGGTCAGAACAAGCAGCAGTTTGGGGCAAGGAAAAAAGTAAAAAGCAACTGCAATTATTATTTTTTTTATTAGCAAATGGACAGTATCTGGACACCTAAACAAAATCAGCCCTTTCCAACATTAACTCAAATGCCATTGTCAATTACTTGCACCACTCCCACACTTCAGTCTGTCTTTCATACAGCCAGAACCTTTGGGTAAACAAAGAGTACAGAAACACACAAAAACATACAATATATACAGGCTTCCCACCAACTAAATGGACTTAGATTTTTGGAGAGTAGCAACGCTTTGTTCATTTGACTTTGCAAGTAATATCAAAACATCTCAAGTTTTAAAATAAAAAAATACTACAATATTCACATATAAAACTTAAATACATTTGTTTAAAAATTAAAGGACTACTAATAGCTATTGATTTATCACAGCTGTCTTCAACAGAAGAAACTCTGCCGATGAAGCACTGAGAATTCACGGTTCACAAAGCGACATTCACATTCTGCACTGCTCCTGGTCACAGTTAAGACACTGCCATGCTCATGAGATAGTGCCACTGGAGACTCGTCCAGGAGTTCAACTCACATATGTCCCACTGATGGGGTACAGCAAGGTCACAGAACAAAGCAAATGCCCACGTGTAGCAGGGTTGCCCACTTCCCAAGAGCAGAAACGCAGGTCCACGCATCACCATCCCATGCACGTCATATCTAGTTTTCTGCTTTCCCAGTTCAAGCTCTTCAGTTCACACTGGGCAAACAGAGTGGAAATGACTAAGCGGTACATGACGCTTCCTCTCCTCTGCTATTCCTTCCCTGCTAACGTACTCCTGTGTTTTATTAAATAGTCATTGAATAAAGTGACTAGACAGAAACAGCTCCTGGGTTGGTCTCCCCTCTGGTGTAACTGCATAGTGCAATGGAACCACACCAACAGGGACTCTGCCCCACCGTGCTGAGTGCACAAGCTTTACACAAACAGGGCAGACAAGGAACAAGAACCTACAAAGGAGGAATTCAATCCACCCTTACGCAATCTCATCCATGACAAAAGAGATCACTAAGTGTGCTTGAAAGGCAAGAGAATCAAATTTTGCCTAGGAAATCTGGATTCTTGTGATGGAATCCAGGTTTGGTTATTTAGTTTTCACTTCACCATTCGAAACAAGCAGAAACTAAGACAAATGACAGACACAGTATTTATCTCTTTGGTAACATCTGTAAAAGAGTCTTTAAGCAATGGGTACACCTTACAGTAATCATCATAAAAGCCCGATAAGATCCTGTAGAAGTTTCATAGATTGAAAAAAAACTGGGGCATGAACTGGGAAAATAGCTCGCCCAAAATTAAACAGGGCCTGTGGGAGGGTGAGAAAGACTGCACAGGAACTGGATCCCTCAGATTCCTGCTCTAGCCACACAACAGTGCCTCAGTGAAAGCAGATCCCAGATACACAAGCTGAATCAATAACCTCTCATTACAGACAGAAGGTCTGCAGTGCATTTTAGGGTTTCTCTTTAAGGCAAAAATGGGTGAATACTAGCTGAGGAGACAGACAGGCTTGGCAAATAGTCCGAAGGTGGACCAAGTAGCTGTAGTACACTTTCACAGTCAAGTGGCTCTGTGGGTCAGTTTAAAGAGGATTTGGATCCCATCACTTGTGGTCACACCCTACTTTTAAATCCCGCTCAAGTAAACCGCAGCCTTTCTATGACAGAAAAATGACATGGTGTGTAAAATGCCTTTGCTTTTAGTTTAGTTCCTTATAAATAAAGTTTCTTATTGAAAGTTAAGTTTGCATAACCAGCTCTCCCCTCATATTGCAAAAAGACTCAGCTGATATAGCAGGGGCTGGAGGCAGCAGAGAACCCAACTGCTCCTTCCCACTGAAGACACGGTTTCCTCAGGACAGGCAGCAGAGAGTCTTGAGGCAGAACAGCAAGACATGCATTGCCACGTTTCGTATTTTACCTGTTCTTTGTCTTGAGTAACAGCATAACCTGGTGAACCCAGACCAGCAAAACAATGAACAGAAAGTCCTGTATATCTCTGAAATTTCCAACAACGCGAGCACTGAACAAGAGGTTTGTCCAGAGTGATCTAATGCTGCCATGAAGCACTGTTTCAGGGTTGAAATCTCAAGTACTTGCCTGAAAACCTAACTACACAGAGGCAGAAAATCACACTTCAAAAGGAATCCACTGCCAAGTCACTTGCATATAGCTGTCGCTAAAGCAGCTTGCATGGAGCGTATTAGAAATATGCATCTTCCTTAAATTTCTGGAATGACAACTGACTAGCTGCACATAGTCTCCCCAGATGACGGACTGTCGATAGCTGCGGTAATCTTGAAGTCCACCAAAAAGGATTATGCAACTGAAGCCTGCAAAGGAATGGGAGAAGAATAAGCTTTCTTCCAAACCAGTGACGGCATCCACCATAAGTAAAGAGTTTTTGCAAGTAGATCTCAAATAACTGTCAGACCATGGATCCAGTTCCAGAAAGTAAAAAGGCAGGAATTAACGAATCGGTCAGAAACAACCTGAAAGCAATGATTCTTGCCTTGGTTTTGTGTAGTGCAGACCATAGGCTGGTTTATATAAAACTCTTCTGTCAATATACTGCTTGCTGCTCTGTAAAGGGTTAAATTCCAATCTTACTCCGTGACTGCATCCTTTCAGCTGAGATAAATGGACTCCCAGGCAAAAGGACCACTGGGAAATACATATGCCATGCTGTGACAACAACATGTCTCCAACAAAGAGGACGGCTTGAGGTCAGCTTTCACTTCCTCAGCCTTCTGCTTCCCTTGCTTTCTTGTCACCGCTGCTAAAATTGGTTCAAGGGCACTTGAGACTTTCAGTAGAAAAGATTTTTCTCCTTGCACCAAAACCTCAAAGGTTTAATATTTACTATGACCACACAAAAGTAGAATCTGAATGCGAACTGGAAGTTAGTGGTATCCGAGTGCCATTACTGGAGAGCTGAGAAAATAAAACCGTCCAGATTTCCTGCTTAAGGGCACATCTCCATTTTGCCAGCAGCTGCAACGAAGAGCATATCATTTATCATGCTTGAAAGCTGTACAAATACCCATCAGGGAAGAGAGATTACTCTCCTCTAAAATATACTTTTTGGTTGGAGAAAAAGAGATTCAAAAACAGTTTTCTGACTCTACCAAGAACCACTACTCTTTGTCTGACCTTTAGAAACAAGGAGGCAAGCTGAAGTTTTACCTGGAGAACAAATACTAACACGTTAAAGTCCGGCCTAACATCTGAATTCTCTTTAAAACCTCATCCCTATTCAACTGTAGTACAACAGAGATTTCATTAATTTGGAATTTTTTTCCTGGAGTCACATGAGAAAAAGCTGCCCCTAAATGTCATTTCAAGTGATCATCTTCATCCTCATTTGAGGGGTCCAGGGACAAGGGACGACAACAAAACCAGCCTGATAATAATACTCAGCCCTTTGGGCTTTTCCTCTTCTGAGTGCTTTGCAAAGAAAAAGCCTCACCACATCCCTGTGAGGTAGGTCAATAAGTATTATTATATTCCCTTAATACAGATACAGGAACTGAGGCAGAGAAGTTACTTTCCTGAAGGCCACTGCAGGAGTCTGTCTCAGAGGTGGAACCAGGAGACAAGATTCCTTAGCTCTCAGAGAATTTCCCTTTCTCTCCTGTATCTCCCCTCTTCCCCATATGAGTCTTAAGGGAGAAACAAGCGACAGAGAAAGGGGCTACAGTGCCATGTTTCTGACAAATAGCAGGACTCCTAGTACTACTCCATATACTCCACAAAGGATTATTAAATATACAAGTACCTTAGAATTAATGGCAAAATGACTGCACACATTATAAAGAAGCCAACATACAATACAAACCTAGCTTAATAAATAAGTAAAGACATGCAGCTGCAGTTGTGACTGAGTGCTGAGGGGTCCTCAGCTCAGTAAAGTCCCAGATGCCAATGGGTAAGCCCACGTCATTCCTGCGACTCTACTGCCACGCCGACGAGTGCGTGTCTGATAGTGCGACCATGGAGTTTATAGCCATCCTGAGTCACCAGTGCTATTGTGCCCGGCTGCATTCCCTCAGCTGGAACATGGCAGACTATTTCATGGTCATACGGATCATATTTGCCACCAACAGGGTTCATCTTCTGAAGGCCGTGTTTGGCAAATACACTTTGCAATTTGGCCTCTATGAGAGAGAGGCCTTCGTAGATTTTCTTCAGGGTTGGACTCGGATTACTAGGCTCCGCTTCTTCTGCAGCGCTCTCAGTAGTCTTCTCCAAGATATCTGCTACCTCCACAAGGTCCCTGCAGAAGCTCTGGATCCCTACAAGCACAAAGAAGCAAGAAGTAAATGAAGGGCAGTTTACAGAACATACAGAGCTACAGTATCAATGACAAGCACAAAGCCACAGCAGTTTGAAAGCACCTTTAAAGCTGCTAATTGATTTGAACTGTTACTTTAGTGACAGTAGACAGTGTCTTCTGTATCCCACAGCCAAAGCTTTGGCATTACATTGGTAGCAATGTAAAGACTCCCCAAATCAAGGTAGATGCAGGAAAGGCACCTCTATACACATCAACACATACATACATATATAGTATACCTGACAAAGCAGAGCATCAGTATTTCACTCCAAAAGGTTCTTGCAACTACGACTTGTCATTTACAACACAGTTCCACACCCTCTCATACAGTCACACAGACATAAACGTTTTGTCCAACAACTCACACAAATGCCCATACACATGAGGAACAAACACAATGAGGGGAAGTAAAAATAATACATGACCATTCAAAATTATACCCATAATTTGATGAATAAGTTAAAATCACGATGAAAGGACTGGACAAAACGGTCCTTGGATTTGTCGTGAAAAAGTCATGCAGTCTTTTTCATTTAGAAAAATGGGTTTAGATCACATACATTTCCAGAAGTGGTGTATTATACTGTGTAGAAATGTCAGGAAAACCAGCCTCCCTCAGTTACATAGATGCCATAGCTAACTTACTGGAAAGACACATTAGGAAACAGAGAAAGAGAAACAATAGTGTAGTGCTGTCTATAGTTGTACACACGTTTAAAAATGCACAGAACGAAGAAGCATGAAGGAGAAGCAACGAAGTTCGAGCAGACAGAAGCAGACTGATTGCCAACCACTTCCTCTTGCACCAGAGTCTGTTTTAATGTTCTACAGACCCCCGTGCCTCACTCCATGAGCAACTTCTAATAAAGAACGTCATTCTTCTTCAAATCTGAAGCACAATGCACCTAAAATTCAAAGAGCTAGGAAAAACACACCTCAAAACCAACAGTGCTGATTATCCCAGAACTCAACAGCCATTTTATAGCACAAGGAGTAGAGTGGTAAGAAAAATACAGCAGCTCTAATTTCTAAGGTACTGGAATTAACTAACAACCATCCCTCCCCATCCCCGACATTCATGCATTATGGAGAATAACAGTTCCTCTTTCTCAGAGGTGGCGCTGACAGAGTGCAACAATTAAACCGCAGCTTCTTCCCTCTTCACCTGCCTCTGTTGTCAAAGCTACAAATCCAGCTTGCTCCTCTGATGCTAAAATACTTTTTATAGCAGTTTTAAAGAACATCTGATACAGGAATTGACAACCTTTGTCCCAGGCAAGATCTATCACCTAAAAGCTAAAGCAAAAAGAGAAGAGGCTGTTCATATAGTACAGGAGATCACAATCTGATGACACAGCTAAGAGTGCGGAATTTCAACCAAGTCAGTAGAACTACGCTCAATTGCACTGGGCCTATTTTATTTTTTTAAAAAATAAATCATAAAACAGTCACTGATAGGACCTGGCTGGACACACACAAAAAACAGCGAGTAAGCTCAGACACACCAAGAGTCCAGGCCAAACATCATGTCAGACTTTACAATGAATGAGGGTGGGGGAGAGAAAAGCTGTTGATCAGCGTTTTATGCTCAGGCAGGCAGGCAGGCCACTGCACTAAACACAGCTCTGCCTCACTTTGCTTACCAAAGAGCTTGGCATCTTCCACAAACTTCTGCGTTCTCCTCCGGACATTCTCAGAATCTGCCAAGGCTTTCCGGTATCGCTCCTGTAACCACAATACCAAGGGGAGACATCAAACGAGGAGGTTAAAACCCATTTCCTGACAGCTGGCAATCCCTTAGAAACGCTTTAAAATAAGCCCACTTCATGTCAGAAGGTTGTGTTGAGCTCCTGCGTTTTCATTACATGCAAACCCAAGTCCCTCTCCTACTGATTAATCAGCACAGCTGCACTCCCTCAAAAGAGCCAAGTGAAGGCCAGAAGCATTCAGGGTGCAGCTCAACTGAACACCACATTGTCAGGCTGCTGCTTTTTGCATGACTCACTGCAGCTCTTGAGACACTCCTTTCTCCAGCAGGCAGGTTGGCGGGCTTGGCAACAGATCTGCAACTGGCTATCACTTGGTGAAGTAGTATTCTCAGGGCAATTGTCTCCAGAATTGCCTGGAGCTGCAGTATTTAATCCTCTCCTTCGTCACATCTGTTCTTCAAAATCCCTATAGCATGATCCCTACCATTTCCATCACACCACTGTCACTAAAGAGGACTTTCCTTCTCCAACAACCTGGATTCAGCACAACAAAATATGTGATGTTTATCAGGGCAAAGCTACTGCCCTTCCCTCTGTACAATGCTGTGAAAGAATTGACCAGACCATCTCCAACATACAGTTTTGCCTGCCAGGATCTTGCTCCTACATACTACAGACAGACGTTATTTCTGGGGAAGCCAGACTGTACTTTCACAGTGCACGCTCTCACACTTAAGAGCACAGCTGCTCTGAAGGCTGCCATAGCACAGTCGTGTTGTGTGCATGTCACAGGGCCTACAGAAAAAGCGAGGGCTGAAAGACAGACCAAGTCAAGAGGACCGAAGGAAAGACATTGCAACGCCACCAGCAGCACACTCACAGTTAAATCCCGGACTTGTTCTTCCAATTTGAGGGCTTTGTGCTCTAAGGCACAGTCAGAAAGGGGATGCTTGGGTTCATCATGGGGATCTTCTGGGCCACACTCATCTCCTGTACTTCTCTGCTGAGCTGCAGTGCTGAAAACACAGGAGGACCCCCTGAAATACAAACCAGTGACAAAGAAGGGAAGTTAAGTAACAACAGGGTCAACAAGAATTCCAGCTTAGTGTCATTAATAAAAGCAGGCTGTCTTAAAGAAGGTATGTAGGATTCTAGATAAAATTTTCGCTCTTTTCAGAAAATATCGACGACTAGCACAGAAACACAGAGACAGATGTTTTGAAAAATTCTTTTATTTTAGACTCACATGTCACTACAGAAGCTGTACAACATTTCTTTGACATACCTTGAAAAGAGTCAGATTTCCACAGGACAACAAGTTGTGTGTTGCATTTTTGCTGACCTCCCAGTACAGGTGGTCAACACTGAACGACAAACTTCAGAAACATTTTTGCAAGGTAGTCTTGAAAAAGAGGCAGGTAGTTTAAAGCTGTTTTTACAGTTATTAAAAAAACCCCAAATGCTCTGAGCAGAATTTAGCAAGATCTGCAAACCCATGGCACTTAGTAAGATAGGCAGGCAGAGCCTAGCCTGTCTCCTAAGATGGTACAGCAATGGCAAGAGGGCACGTCGCACCAGTGGAATGGCTGTGGACTTCCGTGGAGCAATTCAACAAGCAAGGAAATACACACGCATGTCAAACTGCTGGCTAATGGACGATCCAATTCTCAGATGCTCTGATCCATTTGCTCTTCTGCGTGCAAACAGACACAGTATTTGGTGTGTTCAGTTTTCCCCCTATTGCATAAAGAGCAGGAGAGTTTGAACCTTTTGCCAATCAGTTCTTCTTACAAAGTAGCACTCGCCAGACTGTACCCAGCTTTCATGTCCAGTGCGCAAAAAACAGTCAAGAAATGAAAGAGAACTGTCAGAGACACAACCAAGTTGTGTGCTTCCAAAATATTCTGGAGCCTTCTGCCATGGCCTTCACAGCTCCATTAGCTGCGTTTGCAAAAGGGACTGAACATGTCAACTGAAAATTGTCCCTAGTATTCTCAGAATATTATTATTATTATTAGATGTTGAGAAGCTCAACATGAGCCGGCAGTGCGCTCATGCGGCCCAGAAGGCCAACCACATCCTGGGATGTATCAAGAGAAGTGGGGTCAGCAGGTCAAGAGAGGTGATTCTTCCCCTCTACTCTGCTCTTGTGAGACCCCACCTCAAATACTGCATCCAGTTCTGGTGTCCCCACCATAAGAGAGACATAGATTTGTTGGAGCATGTTCAGAGGAGGGCCACAAAGATGATCTAGGGGCTGGAGCACCTCTGCTACGAGGACAGGTTGTGGGAGCTGGGATTGTTCAGCCTTGAAAAGAGAAGACTTCGGGGGGACCTAATAGCTGCCTTTCAATACCTGAAGGGAACTTACAGGAAGGCTGGGGAGGGACTTTTTACAAGAGTGTCCACTAATAGGACAAGGGGAAATGGGTTTAAGTTGAAGGAGAAGACATTTAGGTTAGATCTTAGGAAGAAATTCTTCAGTACAAGGGTGGTAAGACTTCGGAATAAATTGCCCAGAGAGGTTGTGGATGCCCCCTCTCTGGAGGTGTTCAAGGTCAGGTTGGACGGAGCCTTGAGTAGCGTGGTCTAGTTGAGAGGCGTCCCTGCCCATGACAGGGAGGTTGGATTAGATGATCTCTGAGGTCCCTTCCAGCGTATGCCATTCTATGATTCTCCAACAGTTCTAAGCACTTTAACTGCTTTTATCTCTACTGGCAACAAAGGAGTCGCAAAGGCAAAGAAACCCAAAACAAGTCCAAGCCTCAGGTGAGGAAACCTTCCTTGTTTCTAACGACTTTTTCATCCCAAGTATGCTTTTCAACAAAAAAGCACGCTTGTTGGTTCCTGTTGGTACAGCAGGTGGAGCTCACCCAGGAAGCTGACTCCACAACTTGCAGATGAAATGATGAAACAACCAAAGAGTCAGATAATTGGATTGAGCTGTATAAACACCGCCTAGGTGCTTAACAGCCTACTCTATACTGTAACAATCTCACAGGTTTCCCCAAAACTAGACAATAGAAGTCTGTCTGAAAGCAGTTTGATCAGAAGATGATAAAGCCAGCACACTAGAGACTTTGAAAAATAAAATATTTTTCACTTCATTCTGTTCTTTTCCAGAAAGCGCTTCACCTGCGGCAACAATGCTGTCACTCCAAGAGCAAAACACAGTTTTCACTTCCCCTCCTACACCACTTGCTTTTACAAAGTGACCTATACAGGATCCATTCCTGCCAGAATGAGGCTGAACCCTCAGCTCACCCCTCTCTCATGCCTTACACCAGGAACCGTGTCCGCAGAAGGAAGTTCAATCTACTTCCAAACCAGCTCCATTCAGGAAACATTTCAGTATAGCTTAACAAGGAAGGGTGTCTCCTTTTCTGGGAACACCTGGGATCTTCCTCTGGGCAGGCTTTCAACATCCTCTTTAATAGAAAGGTTTTGCATATACTAAGTGCACGTCTACCAAGCAAAATGCAGCATGGCACAGAAATCACTGCACTGGCACCAACTCAAACTTCTGTGTTTATACAGCACAATTCAACACTGCACGGAGATGCTAATTTAGGCCCCAGAAGCAATACAGGTGAACTCACATTACCAAGCCTGCACAATTAAGCTTTCTTACTTTTCAGCAAGTCTATACTGCTTGGGTACGATGTCGCAGAAGTGCACAGCTTTTGTTTCTGGGTCTATCAAATAGGTCACAAGGCCTAAATGTTGTTCAGCAATCCAGCTAAGCTGAGCTTACAGTGGCAACTGGAAGGGACAGGTTTGCCCCCCTTACTCCAGTACTGGAGCTGTGCAGAATGAAGGTTCAGGGAGTTAAACCAGCTGAAAACTAAACCTACAAAGCAAAAACTTTTCTGTCTGTGTCCCTGAATAGGTTTGCTGACAGATCAGATGAGTGCTAGTACAAAAGAGAAGACAAACGTGTGAAGCCTGGTGAGATGTGGGAGGGAGAATATCAGGAAGGGAAGAGGTGTCTCCCTTTGGGTGGCAGCCAGGGCTTAGATCGGCTCAGCTCTACGACCAAAGCACAGACTCACATCTGCCCAAAGACCACCAAGCACTTCCTACCACTCCCTGCTTAGCAGTCTAGATGTTCCCTTATTTTATCTTTAACACAAGGTTGCCAAACCTCCCACAACACTAATGACAAACTTCCTTTTCCCACCTGAAGACATTTGCATATGTAAATTTTTAAGTACGTACTTAAAACATGCTCTATATGTCAAACCACTCCTTTTCAACACATTCTATGCCAAATGCAAGTCTGAAAGTGCTTCTGCTACCTACACTTGCTCTAGAACAGAACATTCCTCGCACTAATCTTTAAACAGGCACTTTTCAAAAAGCTGCCCAGCCACTGCGCTTCTGGCTTCCAGGAATGACAGCACAGAAGAAAATCCCACATTTTATCCCTTGCTGCAGAGAGATCTGTTTGGGGCACAAGACCCCATCCTGAATGATTTTCAAGATGCTTGTCACATTTGTTTTGCTGACTGGTTAACATAGCACTTTTTCAAAGTTATAGAAAGTAGACTAAACTGGAGATGAGGACAGAGGACAATCCCCTTCACTGAGCCTTCAAAATCAATCTGTGAAGCTTTAAACAACTGCAAAGTTTTCTTTGTAAATAAAAGGTGTGTCTGTAGCAAGCACCAACTACAAGCTTCGTCCTTTATCATCTCACATTTCATTTAAAGAGCAGCAGGGATGGAAATTAGCCATGATGAACAAAAGAACCTGAAACACAGCTGAGAAAGCAGCCTTGCCAGGCACCTCACCTGTGTCTTAAAAAAATTCAGTTCCCTCTGCAAGTGATTTACACTACACAAATGGGTGTGTTGTGGTGTGTAGGAGGAGAGGAGCATGAACAAGCTGGTGCCTCAGCTACAGGGACCTGCCTACGTGAATCGGAGAGCTGCCAGCATGGACTCCTTTCTCCAGCTTGTGAAACCGAGTCACAGAACACTCCTCCGTGCAGTGAAATGCCCTGGGTATCACGTGCTGTTCAGATGACCCTGCTTTAAAAGTTGCAGGCAAGAAACAAAACCCACAGGTTGACTCCAAAGGGAATTCTTAAGAATACTGATTTCTTAAGAATTCTGCTTAATAGCAGAACTGAAAACACCACTCAATTCACTTCTTCCTTCAGGATGAAAGAATTACTTCACTAAAAAGGGCAAGTGCTATTTACAGTCCGTCCACTGCACTGTGCTTCATCTTCTAAGCACAGTCCTGACCACAGCTGCCCTAAAAATAGGCTGAAATCACATTGGAGGAAGTTGACACATCCTAAAGTGACAGACACGTGGAAGTCCCAGAGCACGTGAAGGGATTATACAAGTAAGCTGATGATACAAAAAGATTTACGGACCGATGTCACAGAAAGCCAAATAGATAGATGTAGCCAAGGAGTTGACTGTAGCCAACTGTCTTCAAAGATTAGAATTTAAATGATGAGAACAGGTCTGTCTGGTCAGAACAATAGCATCTCCTCTCTTTCTGGAGCACAGGCATGATACTCAAAATCCCAAACTGACTCTGCCATGTTCCCTCCCAACACAAGGGTCCTGCCCCATCTCTCCTTAAACACTCCCTCCTCCTCCCAAACTAGCAGGACAAAGCAAGCGCTGAGACATGCAGAAACATCTGCATTAGAGTTTTAGCTCTGACTGCTTTGGCAGGAAATCTTCTAATCACCCTCAATTACTGAGCTCTGTTTCATCAGGGAGTGATACCAGAGATTAATACTATGTGGATTCCTCTTCGATGAAACTGGAGAACAAGCTTACGACACACATCTTATCACAATATGGCTGTAAACTGGGCAGTAGGTTCCCAGATTACAGCTAGTCCAGCGTAAGAAGTCCCTGAGATGAGTACAGCATGGGTGTCTGGGTCTCACCACCCACCGCTTCGCTGGGTAGAGCCGCTTCTGTTGGCTGCAACACAGGCATAGCCACAGAGAACCTGCGTACAAAGAAGAGTTTCATGCCAACCGTAGGTTCCAATGATCTTCCATGAAGGAAGCCTGCTCAGGCCCCATCA